CTCCATTCCTGAAGCTCTCCCAGTTCCTTCCTCCTCCTCCAACACCCCAAAACTCCCCTGCCTGCTGTGCCAGGATCCAGCTGCTCCATTCCCGCCAGCTCAACCTCTCCCAGTTCCTACCTCCTCCGCCAAGACCCCAAAACTCCTGTTTACTGAGCCAGGGTCCGGCTCATCCATCCCCGTGGCTCAGCCTCTCCCAGCTCCTCTTCCTCCTCCTCCAACACCCCAAAACTCCCCTCTTTGCTGTGCATCCATCTGCTCCATTCCCGAGGCTCTCCCAGTTCCTTCTTCCTCCTCCAACACCCCAAAACTCCCCTCTTTGCTGTGCATCCATCTGCTCCATTCCTGAGGCTCTCCCAGTTCCTTCCTCCTCCTCCAACACCCCAAAACTCCCCTGCCTGCTGTGCCAGGATCCAACTGCTCCATTCCTGAGGTTCAACCTCTCCCAGCTCCTGCCTCCTCCTCCAACACCCCAAAACTCCCTGTTTGCTGAACCAGGGTCCGGCTCATCCATCCCCGTGGCTCAGCCTCTCCCAGCTCCTCTTCCTCCTTCTCCAACACCCCAAAACTCCCCTCTTTGCTGTGCATCCATCTACTCCATTCCCGAGGCTCTCCCAGTTCCTTCCTCCTCCTCCAACACCCCAAAACTCCCCTGCCTGCTGTGCCAGGATCCAACTGCTCCATTCCTGAGGCTCAGCCTCTCCCAGTTCCTTCCCCCTCCTCCTCCTCCTCCTCCTCCTTCTCCTCCTCCTGCTGCCGCCGCCTTAGGCAGAGGCAGCGCGGGACGTGCCGGGGCAGAGCGGGGAGCGCCATGGCCGAGCGGCTGTCGGAGGAGAAGATCGCCGAGTTCAAGGAGGCCTTTTCCCTCTTCGACCGGGACGGCGACGGCTCCATCACCACGCGGGAGCTCGGCACCGTCATGCGCTCGCTGGGCCAGAACCCCACCGAGGCCGAGCTGCGGGACATGGTGGGCGAGGTGGACGCCGACGGCAGCGGCACCGTCGACTTCCCGGAGTTCCTGTCGCTGATGGCCAGGAGGATGCGGGACACGGACGGCGAGGAGGAGATCCGGGAGGCCTTCCGGGTCTTCGACAAGGACGGCAACGGCTACATCAGCGCGGCCGAGCTGCGGCACGTCATGACCAACCTGGGCGAGAAGCTGACGGACGAGGAGGTGGACGAGATGATCCGCGAGGCCGACTGCAACAACGACGGGCAGGTCAACTACGAGGAGTTCGTCAGGATGATGACGGAGAAGTGACTCCCGGCCCGGCTCCGGCCCCGCAGGTGGGTTTGGCTCGTGGGACGGGGTCGTCCCACGCCCGCTGGATGTTCCCTGACATCCCTGAGAACAATAATGGAATGTCCCTCCCCCCGTGTCCTGGCGCTGCCGGTGCTTCCTTCGGCTTCTCCTTGGGATCCTGGATGGAAACAACCCCCCCC